TGCTGGTGATGGTAAAACTGAATTTTTAGCAGGATTACTCCAGTGTTCCGTGTCACATGATCCTTCAGAAATCATTCTAATATGTTGAATATGTTTTCAATGCTGACAAACAGTTGTGCTGCTTAATATTTTTGTGGAAACTTTGATGAATAAAAAGTAAAAAAAATATATATATTTGAAATGGAAATCTTGTGTAACATTATAAATGTGTCACTTTTGGAAACTTTTGATAAATTTAATGTGTCCTTGCTGATTAAAAGTGTTTATTTCTTTTCTTTTTTTTTAATCTTACTGACCCCAAACTTTTGAGTAGTCTACAGTATATCATGTAATTTATTCACATAATTTGTTTATTTGCAGCCTCTTTCCTTTTAGTAGTGCATTTCAACCAGTATGAGCAAAATAAGGATGGACAGCAAAATAAAAATTGATATCTATGTGCAAACTTCCTTTTAAATGTTTAACAACAGTTGCACATCTTTGGTGCTGTACTTGTTCAATTTCCCATTTGTCATTAGCATTCACATTTCTAGACTAGTGTGCCATCTGGAGTTCATGAACATATTTCAACAGGGAATGGCTGATTCTTGCCAATCTGGACATCAGTATGCATTAGCCTTGTCAACCTTGTTGTGTGCTGCTTATACTGTACAAATTGTCACAATAGAAGGTTTACCTTGATATGAATGTTCATTGTTCACTGATTTTTCAGGGTGTAACAACACAATATGACAACAAACCATTATAAAATATTATATTATAAAATAACAAACCATTAACTACAAGTTTTGCCTCGATAAACTCCTAATTTGCTGCTTATAAATAATTAGTAAAATAGTTGTTAAGTTTAGGTTTTATCAGGATTAGAGATGTAGAATATAATCAGGCAGAATATGTGCTTTATAAGTACTAATAAACAGCCAATATGTTAATAATAGGCATGCTAATAAGCAACTAGTTATTAGTGAGAATTGATCCATATACCCACAATAATTTTTCTTAAACAGTGCACCAAGTTGCTCTGCCTACTTAACATAACATGTTTAAATGGGCTTTACATTTTGTAGGTTCCACCATACTCCCTCAAAAGTTCTCCAGAGATTGTATTGTACAGAGACAGTCTCTGCATAACACAGAAATACTTACTTAGAGACTCTGGACTCTTAAACATGATCAATGTGAAATACCTGGAACAGTGCAAATACTCCTACCTCAGGAAATTAGAAATCAGGGCTGATTTAGATGGTGTCTGGTTTGATTCAGAGTTATGTCATCAACAGCGTGGTGCTGTTCCAAACCCCAGATTAACAGCTCATGTTGAGCTACAGGAGCGAGAGCCAGTCTGGTGAATAACAGTGTAGTCTAACTGGCCTTGAATTCAACTGACCTATCATCAGATTGCTTGTTTTCTATATCGGTGACCTTTAAAGGGGCTAAATGTGTCATATTCATGTTGAACATTAAAGCTGTCACGTGTCTTTTCATTTGTCCATCAGGAGCAGGACATTCTGCAGGAGTACCTTCTTGCTCTCACTACCAATGAACAGCTAGTAGTGCACACTGCACAGGTAAGACTACCACAGTCCCTGTAGTGTTCTTATATATTTTGTTTTATTTTACAATTTAGTATCCTTCAGTGTTTAAATCAAGGGCAGACAACAAAAAAGTACAAGCTAAAATATGATTACAATACAAAAAAAGCTCAAGTATAATGGAACGAAACAGTCATCGGTGATTCAGATGATCAATGAAATTCCTATTTAACAATAAATTCAATAAATGGATCTTTAAGAGAGTCATTTAGTAATCTAAGCTGTTGGGAATGTAAGAATGCAAGTAAATGAAAATACAGAACAGCCTTTTTTTCAGACCAGGCTTTATGAACAGTCATGAGCATGTCTGAGAAGCTATGCCATAAACACCACATTTGTAACAGTAAAGTAACAGGTTTACGTAAACATTAAATAAATATGGCCTGTCCGTTTAACTTGTTCATTTAGTGCAATTCATTGTTTAAAAAAAGGCAGTAAAAATTAATAGTACCAGAGAGCCATTTTATGGAATTTGATTAATTGACATGCAATTATATTTGTAATCAATGTATACCGATGAATAATTTGACATAAGGGAGGAGAATGACGGTAGACTTTGGTATACAGCTAGTAAGGGTTATTCCGTCAAAGATGACACACAGTATTAAGACAAAAAACTGCTGTAGCCATGTTCAAATGAGTACACAGGTTTTCAGTGGTGATGGTTCACTGCTTAAAATGAGATGTGGCAGAGCCATAAAGCTGCTAATTCACAGGAAGGACAGGAAACCGCAGCACAGTGGAGAGGTGAATGTTTGTCAAATGGACGGCTGCATCCAATGTCCCACTATATGCTGATGAGTTATAATGATCCTCTAATGTCTAATGGTGTGTTAATGAGCTTGTTTTATTAGCAAACCCTGATGACTGACAGTCATTGTACAGTATGGCTACTTGATGAAAAATTAATGAGTGTATTTTATTATTACCGTACAGTAGCATTCCCATTTCTTTGTTGTTTTCATGTTGCTTCTTTTGCAGGAACATTCGTTTTACTACAAATTAATACATGCGATTTGGGAAAATACTTCTCTACACTTGACACTTCTCTAATAGTAAAAGTGTTTGACCTTTGTTCACATACTGTAGATAGATAACAGCATTAGTGACTAAATTGCCCTTGGTGAAATAAATATTTGCGCTCCTCATCACATGACAGCTCTCACCAAATATTATGCTAAAACAGCTGAACATCAGAAAGCATATTGATAAAAACACCTGTGTCGATTCTCGCACGAGGCGTACGAGTTCCCATCATCCATATACATGTGTGTGAGAGAGAGTGTGTTTGTGTGTGGGCTGTGGACAACTCTATTGCATTTAGTCATTAACCCCATTATTGTGTTTGGTGTGGCACAGCCTCATCTCCGGCACAAGGAACACATTGTGTTGTGTGGGACGGGATTAATGCTCTGTATTTATCTTATCCCGAGCACCTTTTCAGCTCGAATAAAAACATGCTTGTAATATCCAAACAAGTGGTTTGATGTTGTTAACAAAATAGCCTTTTTGTGCCAAGAAAGTTTTTAAATGGGTCGAACGGTGACATATTTGAAGTGTGATAATTGTGTGTGGGTGTTTTTTGATGAGCTTTGAGGGCCACAGGTGTGTGAAACGGTTTTATAAATTACCCACAATGTTTTGCTTAATGGGTTTTCTCTCTCTCTTCCTCTCGCTGACTTTTTTCTGCCATTGTTGCCCTCCTCTTTCTTTCTCCTGCTGTACTCATTCACTTTTCTTTATATCGTTCTCTCCCTGTTTTATTACACAGGCGCTGAAGAACATCGCAGCCATCAGCCTCTCCATTAATTACCCAAATAAATCCACTAAGCTGCTCAACCTGTCCCCGTGAAAGAGGGATGAAAGAGAGATCGAGATGAGAGAAGGGAAGCTTGCCAAAGGCCCATGGGAATGGCCTTCTGCGCTCGACGGCTGCGGCAGGAGCAGGCCACATATCGTCTTCCAGAAAAACCCACCCCTGTGCTGTTTAATCATAAAGTGGGGGGCACGGCAATCTCATCTCTTAATAATCGCTATTTCTCATCTGGTTTAGGCGAAGATGGGTTTTTTTTCTTTTCACTTTACCTCCGCTTTAACCATGCGAGTTTAGTGGGCTATGCCAAATTAGTTTTCTTACCCATAAGCACATAAGTTTTTTTCTCCATTCCTTCGTTTTCTTTTTATGAAAAGCCACTGTGGGCAAGACAATCGATCAAAGTGAAAGCAGGTCACCTTTTTCCCTGCCTCACACACTCTCCCTGGATTGCCTAAAAATACGAAGCTGCCGGCGCAGTCTCATCCTTCAAAGTGGCCCGAGACTTACGTATACGACGAATACATCGATATCTATCCGAAACCGTGGGGCCTTCTCTCTGTTCACCCTCAGTGGAGCCTGAGCTGATGTTTATTCAGTACTAGCAGCTAGCAGTTACACTCGAAAACCACATGCTTCTAGACAAATGTCAGCTGATGGTTGTGAGTAGGTAAAAAAAAACAAAACAAGTTTGACGTGCCATGTGAGTCCAGAAGTCGCTGTTTGCCTTACAAGTGCAGCTCAAAGTGATCTGGCAACTGATTGTGGGTCAGTTAGCAAAGTTATAACACGTCCTAGTAAGAGGAATGTCAGCGCTTGTCTTACATTGTCATGTCCCAGATTCTCAACTCACTTATGCTGCATACCACCAGGAAATATAAAGCATTATGTACAGAAATATCACTTTATGTTGTGCTGCATGCAACACTGGACTAAACCATGATGTCCATTACTGTTAGTGACATCGGTTGGTGTATTCTGTAATATTGTTGCAGTTGGAGACATTCTGTTTGATCGGTTGATCGACACAGAATTGTGGGTTTAGTGGATGGTCTTAAGGTGCAGGACTTGATAATCATAATCTTCATTGATCTAGTGATTGAGACTCACCAGTATTTTAACTGTGGTGACATGGATACGGTTATGGAAGTTGTGTTGCTTTAAAATATCTATTTATTATTATTACAGGGACATTATTGGGTGAATTTCGAGTGAAGCGTTTGATTGGCTAATAGAAAGATTTGTTGCCGTTTTGAAGGTCAGGTAAAGGCTGTTCTTAGTTCTAACCAATGTTTATCTAAATGTCTTTTTTTTTTGCCCTGTAGCCAAACATTTCCGTTTTTTAATGAAATATCGTAGTAGTATTTTTTGTTCTTGACAGGGGTATTCAGATTTTTAGTTCAGTTTGATTTCATTTTAGTGGGAAAGGAATTGAGACGGATGGTTATTTATGCCAAAGAATCATTATTGTTTGAAAGAGAAGCATCTAACGCAAAGAAATTCATCTTTATCTTCCTGAAGGAGGCTCTAATGATGGCGTGGTCGGTGGTGGTGTTATAATAGAAAAGAAGGTTGAAGTGATCCTTTAGTCCTCACTGTGTTTGTTTACATGAGTACTAGCATGGAGCACTGGCTACATTTGGTGCCGCTGCTCAGCCTCGGGGTGGGTTTCTAAATGTCTGCCAGGAAAACTTCCTGTCACTTTAAAGCCTCAGATATTAACAAACGATGTGCCTATGTTGAAAATGAAGCAATCTTCATTTAATCTTCATATCATTGTAAAGGTCCTCTCTTCAACTCTATTTTTAAAGAAAATGATAGTTTAATTTGGAGCATTTCTATCTATTTTATTTTTATGAATGTCTTTTTTTGTTTCAGAGCTCATGGCTTCAATTGCTTTGAATTTGACATGAATGTATATAGTTGTGAATATGGATAATTGCATAAATAATTCATATGAAAATGATTTTTCATGTCAGCCCCCCACGTTAAAGAAATGTCAGAATAGTGTACTATATTGTTGTAAGTTTACACGTGATCCTTTTGAATTGATTTGCTATGTCACACACACACACACACACACACACAAAAGAAACAACAAAACTGCTTTGAGTTAATTGCTCATTTGTTTTTAATTAAAAAAGCAAGATATGCAAATTCATGTGCCTGGAGGTTTCCCTCTCTTTTAAGGAAAGTCATTTAAAAGTCAAAACCCCCTAGATGACAATTCAGTCTTTTGGAAATTGTTGGTGGGTTGAAAAGGATTCCAGTTTTATACCATGTATCAAAACCTAAAGTGAAAATTCATTTGTACCTATTTGTGATATATTTTACTTACTTTTGAAGTCATAATAACGTGTTTGGTTTAAGTTGTTTCTCAGTTTTCTTAGTTTTTTTTTCATTTAGTTTGTGTTAATGGTAATAACACTACATTGAGCTGACAGAAGAACTGAAGTAGAATTATTTTAAAAAATGAATTTTTTAACACTTCAACCTTTAAACTCAAATCACAAAATTTCCCATGAAACTTCCATTTAAGTGTAATTTTTTTAGCCATTACTTCTGGGATATTCATATTCCTCAACGTTTTTTTTTTTGTTGTTTTATTGCTCAAAACCTTTTCCATACTAAAAATTCCATATAATTTTTGCAGCCGTTAAACAAAAGCCATCACATTTCGCATGCGAGTGCATAGGTATTAAAAGGGTCATATGATGCGATTTCAAGTTTTCCTTTCTCTTTGGAGTGTTACAAGCTGTTCGTGAATAGATAAGATCCCTGAAGTTGCAAAGACTAAAGTCTCAAACCCAAAGAGATATTCTTTATCAAAGTTAAGACTCTGCCACACCCCCCTAAAACGGCTCGTTCTAACACGCCCCCACATATCTAGGTCACTATGTGGGAATATCTGCATAATGCGCCCAACTGTGCACGCAAAGAAAGAAGGCGTGGTTTCAGTAACCGCAGTTAGTGTTGAAGCAGCCATGTCAGGGAGTCTGAATCAGCTACTGTTTTGTTACTAGTTTAAGTATTTGCTATTGACTGTTCAAATGCGGAGTTTTGCGCATTGTGTGTGTGTGTGAGAGAGAGACAGCATCACATCACAGTAGTCAGCTGTCTTAACCGCCGCTTGTGTACTGCATCATTACTGTGTTCCCCTTTCGGGCTTGAGCTGATGGTAAAACTAATGACATTATTTACTGTCTTTACATTTATTTTGAAAGATGAAGCTCGCGATTATGGTAAGGGGCGTTACATTTCCGACGAGTGCTTGCGGTGTTCGGCCAATCACAATGCACTGGGTCAGCTGGCCAATCAGAGCAGACTGCGCTTGTCAGAAGGAGGGACTTTGTAGAAAACGAAGCGTTTGAGAGAGGCGGGGCATAGAGGACCTACAATAATGTACAGTATTTGAAAAATAATGTGTTTTTTGAACATTAAAGCATGTCAACATATTCTGTTACACCAAATACACAAAATAATGATCTTTAAAAAAAGCATCATATGACCCCTTTAAGACATTTTCCTGTTATTTCTGATTTGATCTACTTTGTTTCATTTACCCTGTGCTGAAAGGACCCATTCATCTCCAACTGCCTTACATTTGGAGCCTGGAGCCTCGAATGTGCCGTGGTACTTAAAAGTTACACTAAATTACACATAATCCATCTTTTATGAAACTGGACTCTAACTTCAATAAAATGTAACATTTATAAGTCCATTAAAACAATAGTTTTGCAACCCTCCTTTCCCCCATTGCCATTTGAATCTTAACACCATCCCCAGCATCCCGATCCAACTGAGTATGAACAGCAGAGGTGTCTGAGGTGTCACGTCTATATGTGTTTTGACTTGGCAAACACATGGACCCTCCCTTTAGCACTACAAATAGTCCCTCCCATGTCAGCATTTTCTTCCCTCCTAGAATGTAAACCATCTGTTGTTTTATTATAACCGTTCGCCTAAATATAGTCTCTCGCTTTCAAACACGGTCGCCCCGTGACACAGCCACACCCTGGCGTTTGAATTAGTTCAACTCATCTTCCTGAATAAATATGGACCGCTTTGCCTCATAATACCACCAGCGTTTCTCGCTGCCTCCCTCTTTCTCTCCCCATTCACAGAAACACTGAATGACGGATGTGTCATTGATGAAGATGATGATGGTGATTGTGCGGGAGAAGACGGTGATGATTCAGAGGCGCTCTGAGCTGTAACATCCCCCTCATTCCCTGTGAGTCAGCTCTCCTCACACCCCCCACCCACCTCTTCTGCGTCTCCCTGCCTTCCCGCGAGCTGGACACCGACAGTAAGTCCCTACAGCTGCGACCGCACGGGGGGAGATGATGATGATGATGAAGTCATCCGGTGGGGACGTGAGGCAGTGGGTTTGAAGAAGTATAAATAGCCTGTGAAAACGGAATGGCGCGAAACTCGCTCTTCACACCTACACCTCGGATATAGGAAAAAGGGTAAAGGGGAAAAGAGAGTGAGGGGAAAAATGAGGAAAGTGACACACGGAGTAGCCTAACTGATAATCTGCAGATGCGATGGTTTTTCGAGGAAGGGTGGGAGGCTTGGATTCAGGCTTCGCTGAAGAGGAGTTCGGATTAATGGTGCTTTCACAGAATTTGATTTATGTTTTAGCTCATTGTCATATATGCGGGAATAAGGGCTTCCGCTATGGAGGACCAAACCTGCAGAAATACACAAAAAAAAATTATAAATGTGTGTATAAATGAATAAATACGCAAACAAATAAATAAATGTGTGTATACATACACGTATTCTTGTTTAAATACGTATATAAATAATTAAACGTGTGATGAAAGATAGGCAAATAAATCAAATAAATTGATGGCCAAATGGAAAATGTTTAAGGAAATACTAAACTCATCCTAACTGTAAAATAAACTAAATTCATATCTACACTGTGAAAAAAATTCCTGTAGAAATTACAGTAACTAACTGGCAGCAGTTCGCTGTACAAATAAAAATAAGAGATGTAAATCAACTGTAGAGAACTGTAAATTAACAGTTCATTACTGGCAGCAACCACAGCTGCCAGTATTCTAACCCGCGGCAACAGTGTTAAGTAGCTCAATTCCGCGGGAAAACCGGGGACTTGGCAACACTGCTTATGACCCGACCGCGCTATAGCGTTTCCTTGTTTACCGCTGTAAACAAAGCAGAGTTGTGCTTTATACGGAGAAGAAAATGCCATTGCCATCGAAACTTTTCTCAAGACAGTACCCTTCAGTGATGCATTAATATAACCCCATAAATGTAATGCATTTTTGTACTTATTTTACTGTTTTTTTTCGGGATCTACTGGGACAGTGATAAAGATCTACTGAGATCGCGATCGACGGGTTGGCGACCACTGCTTTAAAGGGAATTAGCATTTTCTAGCCAAGGGTTCCCTTTGGAATTTCCCATGGATTTTTATAATAATAATTTTCGACGAGATCGATGAGGTTTACGCATTTTGTTCAACAACATGAATTACACACATACCTCACGCACTACAATCTTAAAAATAAATCTATGGCATCTATGGTTCCATGGTGCCTTTTGCACCAAAAATGTTTCCAATAAAATGTTCTTCACACTGAGAAAAAAAATGTCTTTTAAGAACTGTTCACTAAGAATATTTTCATAGGGTTGGCCAGGTAGGGGCCTGTATTTACAAGTGAAACTTGGAATTATCTGTGATTCCCGACTTGCAGTATTGTATCTGTATGCAATTCTGTTCTAAATGGTAATTAGTAATTTCACAAAGTTATTAAATTTTTTTTGTGCTGAATTTCAATAATAGTATTAAGGCAATACCTACAAAAAGAGATTAGACTACAAACGTAAAGTTATTCACTAAGTAAACTGGTTTGTTAGATATCTTACACTAGGTGAAACAATGGTTTTCAATTCAGTGTAGAAAACTTACAGCCTCTTGTTGTTCTTTGGTTGTGTTTTGTAACTTCTATATTCTTTTTCTGACTTAAATGCAAGACATTTCACAATAACGAATTGCCAATTCGGAATTAGGAGCATCACAGGTTCAGTGTTTCATCCGTGTTTCTGGCGCTCATCAAAACACCCCTTCCATCACAACTTGGCAACTCGTTGAGTTTCCTCCTATTAAATACATCTATTCATGTGCTCAGAACTCATGATTATGGCATTTCTGACTCCACTTGAAGGGCACATGACATGAGAAACTGAATCACATCCATGTGGTATTTATAGTCCTTATGTAGCATCTGGTTAGCAATTTAGCTAGCAACTGTGCTGTCAACTGTGCTCTCAGTCATCCACGTCTAGTTTTACTTTGGTACTGTAGCTGAACTGTTCTTCTGCTGTGGATGTCATTGGCTGTCTGCCACTAGCATTGTACTAGTTCCAGTATAATTAAAGAAGTCTGACTCAAGACTACAGGCAGGCAGATGCACAAGAACAAAAATTTTTATTTGTATTTACAATATTGCCATCAGGGTTGTTTTATCTGTGCTTTTTATGCATTACACTTAGGAAAAAGGTGACAGTTTCATAGATGAAGTTGTGCCCAATGGATGTGAGGATTAGATTCTTATTACACAAACAGGAAGAATTTTGTTCTTTTGGGATACAAAGGCCTTTGACAACATGATTGTTTGAATTAGCTGAGAATGGGTGTGTGATTGGCTTTCTATAGCCATTAAAGGGTGGAGGGTAAGGGGTAATGGACCAACATTTCAATATTTTGCTAAGCTGCAGATCACTTTTATGTCTTGCTACCATATGCTCGAACTTTTCAAAGTTAGGAGCGTACTGTTGCGTTTCTTTGTATCTCATGATTATGTCTTGTCCATTGCCAATGGTTTTGAAATTAAATGCTCCGTAAGCACATATGGGTGTGATGTTTGGGTGTCCACTATACAGTTTATGTAGAGTCACATTATATGTTTGACCAAGGAAGTGTTGTTTAAATGTTGTGTGGACTTTTAGCTATAGATTAACATGTATTTGCAAAGGTTTGCCAATGTACTAGATGTTCAAAATGATCTTTGAACAACTCATGATCACTTAGAAACTAGTTG